CTCGCTTGTCTCTCGCTCTCTACTTTCTATGAGTCTGAAATCATCTTAAAATTCTAGCACCTAAAATATAAAAAAGTGTTTTTTTTTCTTGCACAGAATTCCCCTTTTTTTGGTTGTTTGTTTCTTACACTTTACCATCGGCTCGGTTGTTTATTTTTTTTTCTGGTTTGGTTGATTTATTTTTCTTGCCCAGAGTTTCCCTTTTTTGGTTGTTTATTTCTTAGACTTTTCCTTTTTTTGTTTGTTTATTTCTTTCTCTGACTTTCTTACCCATACTTGTACGTATTTTCAAGCAAGCTGATGAGCGGCCGTCACCCTTTTTTTTATTGTTTTTCTTTTGCCCAGACTTTTTTATTCCAAAAAGCAAACTGATGAGCGGCCCGTCTGTTCGCGGCACCCAAGCAGCATCAGGCGGTGCAGCACGTCACGTGTTCTCCGGCACCGGCAGACCGGTGGCTGCGCATGCTGGGCGGGGGCGCATGCGTTGCGTGCGTGCGGCGGGAGGTGCACACGTCACACGTGAGCGGCTGCGCCGGGAGGTGGGCTCTCCAATTGCCACGTAGCAGCTAATAATTCACGTAGACAGCTGAGCTCAATGCAAAGCGCAAGATATACGGGAATGGGAAGGGGGACCTCATGTTATGGGAGTTTTATAGAGTTTTATGGACATTAAATATACTGATATGGCACTGTACTAATGAAGAGAGAGATGATGAAAATTTCATGGGAGTAGAGAGAGTTTTTGGGGATGAAACTCTTCTGACTGCTTTTCCAAAATATACTCCTCCGTATCCTAATTAGCAGTCGTTCTGGAGCCGAGCGCGTTCGCGGCAAAGGATGTCGTTCGCGGCACTGTTTTTCAGACAAGCGAACGAGGCCGTAGCAGCTAATAATTCACGTAGACAGCTGAGCTGAATGCAAAGCGCAAGATATATGGGAATGGAAAGCAGGACCTCATGTTCCAATAATAATGTTTTGAATAATAAATCCGGTGGTGGTGCCACGTGTACCTCGAAATGAAAAACGAAGTCCTCCTACCAACCCCTCCGCTTCCATTAAAAAAAATGTCCTTGTACCAGCTATGGCAACACTAAATAAAAACATATATAGCCGTTGATCCAAACACAATAGGTCAAGACTCAAGACTCAAGAGTAAGCATGGGCAACACTCTGATCGAGCTACACTGCATCTTCTCTAAGTTCGAGGACTAGTTGTTGTACTATTTTTATTTATATAATTATATATTTTTTCCGAAGAGCTAATACTCCGTACATTACTTCCTCCGTCAAAAAAAATACAATTCCTATTTTTTGAGAAGTCATTTAGTTTGAACATTGACTCAATTTATATACTAACATTTATGATATAAAATAAGTACCATTAGGTTAGTTATAGAATATATTTTTATAGTATATTTATTTAAAAATATAAATATTAATATTGTTTATTATAAATTTAATTAAATTTGAGCTAGTTTGACCGATACGAATCCATAATTATGGGCCTGATTGGTTGGCTTCCAAAATATGCAAGCCGAAGATTTGGCAACTCATGATTTTAGCTATTGTTTGGTTTGGTATCAAAATTTGCTAACCTCTCACATTTGGCTTGCCAAATTCATGACAAAATTTTTTTATCCAACTTTAACTTACTAAATTCTTACCATGGCATGGTAAATTTTGGCACCAAACCAATTATTCTTTTGCGACAGAGGACCTACTACATTCATCAAAGCAGATTTCTGATGCCGCGGTGTATCCGTACACTCCTGCAAACTTCACGTCACTGAATTAATCCGGGTCTTATTTAGATTGGGGTTAAGAATCAGTATTTGGTAATGTAGCATTTCGTTTGTATTTGATAATTATTGTCCAATCATTGTCTAACTAGGCTCAAAAGATTCGTCTCGTAATTTACAATCAAACTATGTAATTAATTATTTTTTTATCTATATTTAATACTCCCGCATATATTAAAGATTTGATGTGATGAAGAAAAGTGAAAAAACTTCTAAACCAGGCTCCGGTCGATTCCTTTCCGTGCAGGTGCAGTGCACCCGCACGTACGCAGCATGCATGTGTGAGTCCCCACCCTCGGATGAGCCGGCAGCAGCTGGCAGGCACACGAGCGGCCGGCGGTAGTAGCGTCCATGCCGCCGCCGCCCGACTCACTGGATGCACGAGCGCCGTGGCATCGGGTGGGCGAGGCGAGGTGCCCAGGCCACGTGGATGGCGACGCCGCGGCGCAGGTGGCCGTGCGGGCCCTCCCGGTCCCTGTGTCGGTGCGCTGGTGGTGGGGTGGTTGCGTTCCGGCCTTCCGGGGCTCTTGGGCTGGCAGGTCAGTGGGCTAGACCGGCCGCGCGCTCGGCGCTTGGGCTTCGCTAGTCGCTGAACATCCAGTGCAGGGCCCACTCGCTACAGCCGTGTCAAAGCTGCAAGCTTTTGCCGGGCATTCTTCGGTGCTACCGTCGGAGATTTACATTCTATTTTTTTAATTATACGGTACAATGCAGACCTCAAACAAAAATGTCCTGCTTATTATCAAAAAATGGTCTGCTTATCTTTGAATGAACCGGCACGAGAAAATATCCTGCTCATTTGTTGCAACAAAGGAAGTTAGTACTAAGTTAAACTATATTTAGTTTGACTAAATTTATATGATATAATGTCGTAAGAATTATTCTTTGCTTTTAAAAACTTTATCCACTTTAGAGCAATTTAACTTAGGACAACTTGAACACTTTAGGTTTTTAGGGCGAAGATTGTATTGCCTCTAATATGCTCCCTTCCATATGTATGTTAGAATTAACGTTGTTTTGGACATGTACATATGTCCATAAAATAACTCTCACCAGTGGTTTGCAAATAATAAGTTTATGACATGTAAAAAAATATATATAAATATAGGATTTTTAAATATAAATCTAATTATGCCATTTCCAAATATCCCGCTCAAGATGTAAAAATAATTTCTAATAAAAATTTTTAAACAGTAGACTTCTTTTTGTGATTGGGGAGGAACAACTAGATAGCAGTTTGGTGACTTTGTGCGCATCTTGCCATTGGCAAATAAAATGTACTATTATGTATTCAAAGGCATATTAGTTGGTTCAGTTTGTTTGAGCTTTTTCCCTAATTCCCTAATTTAGAAGAAATTTGCAATGTTGTTCTAACATTTAATTTTTGTCTACAAAGAGTGTTACTACAAGAAAACATATGGATTTCACTAAGATACTTTCTACTCTACTCACTACAACAGACATCATAAACTATATTTTTGTAGGGGTATTTGACCATCTGACAATTACATTGTTGTCTCCCCTAACTTCTAGAATTATTCTTTTTGCGGGATGGAGGGAGTCTCCTAAAAACCATCATAAAGTCTATTGTGAGAAACTAATTTCAAAAACCATTTGCTTTTCAAATAAAGAGACAGCCTTTTGAAACTAGCTCCTAAAAAAACAATCTTTTGTTTATTTTTTTACTTCTTTAACAGATGTGCAAAAACCAGTTGAATCTGAAATAAATTGGACCTCACAAGCAGAAACATTATTACAAAAGTTCACTGTTCACATCGAACCGCCTGCTGCCCTTGGCTCAACCTCTCATAGAGCGAGCATGTTTTTTTTTGCAATGTGGACGTGTACATGAACAAATCCTAGGTGCCTTAAAATACGTCTTATAGCCTAGTACGCGTGACGCGTCTACTGAGCTTTATGCCTCTAGGCTGTCTCCAACGGCTTACCTATATGGGTATCCAAATTCAAAATAGGTATTGGATGTACTGTTTCGGCCTCCAACAGATTACCTATATATGAGATGTATTTTGGGTTGCAGCAGACTCACAATCCAAATATGAGTATTCTCTCTCCTGAAGACTCATTTGCAGAAATGGTTCTCCTTTGGGTCATGTTGTTGGAAAAGACCAAAAACAGGTATTGAACTATTTACCTGTAGCGCTACCCAAACGTGAAATAGGTCTTGTATTTTAGATGATATTACTGAAGATAGTCTTACGAGGCCAAAGCTGGGGGCAATGGATTAAAAAACAGAGTTGCTTGCATGATGGATGGGAGCTCCTCTGGTCAGTTCCATGGAATAAGAAATTGGGTTGTGACAAAAGGTGGCAATGCTGTCTTTTCTTTTGCCATCCAAAGTGGCAGCTGGCCTGCCTTTCCTTGGAGGCAGAAAAAGGAGATCAAAGAGGTGAGCTTCAAGAACAGGAACACGTAACAAAACCCTATTTTACTACATGCCCCCATATACGGCCTAGTCATTGTTGGTATATATTTCTTTACAAGATGAATAATAAAGATGACAAGAGTCAAACATTGTTTTTGTATCATGATTTACTTTTTGGTCCTATTCGCTTATCTTATAATCCGTACTTTTCAGTTTGTTTTTTTTCAGCCGAAACAGTATTTTTTTCTCACGACAAATCAACTGGAATAGTGTTTCGGCTTGTTTTTTCAGCGAAACAAATGGGGCATGTCGTCAACCTATCACAAACAGCAATTAGATTATACGTTTGAAAATGAGAGGGAGAATCCCTCTGTCTAGAAAAAAACGTAATTCACGAAAACTTGAATTGCGTTTTTTTTTTTGACGGTGGGAGTACAAGGAGCGGGAAGAAAAAGATCTGGACTAGAGAAATGTGTGGTCATGGTCTCAACTCTCAAGGATCAAGGATGTGACTTCCCGTGGGCCAAAGGGAAGCACCCAACTGTCAGTCTGTCACCGTTTGGGCCACACGAAAAATCGCTATCGGATACGTACTCACATCATTCAGATTTACACAACAAAAGTCATTCCCGCTGCTGCTAATCAGACGCCACCACATATACATGGGCTCCATCAGCAAGAACTGAGCCATCCGGTCCCAAAAGTAGAAAAAGGCAGAGTGGAGCACACCTTCCGTTTTAGGAAGGTGAGAAGAGAGGGGAACTGAAGCAGGGGGAGCCAGGGATCCTAGCGCGGGAGGGGGATCGGCGGCAGAGGAGATGGAGGAGCGGGAGAAGCTCGTGTGCCTGGCCAAGCTCGCCGAGCAGGCGGAGCGATACGACGGTGAGGGATCCCGTTCTTGCGCCTCTGCTTAATAATGCCTGTATGCACTGCAGTCTGTAGTGGTGTTCTTGATGCCTTGCATTTTGGGGAAATCCGTTGTCTGTTCTTAGGCGGAACAGAATTAGGTGTCTTTGGCCTTCGATTCGGTGCGTTTGCTTCGGTCTCTGCCTACTTGCTTGTCTTTGGCCTTCGATTCGGTGCGTTTGCTTCGGTCTCTGCCTACTTGCTAACTCATGAACAGTAACCTGCCGGCCGTCGCAGCAACGATTTTATTTTGGGATTTTTCTTTCTGTGCTGGAGAAAAAAAATCTTCATAATCTGCAGCAGTTCGATCGGTGCGTCCCTTCTGCGTAGCGATTCCTGGCTAATTTCAGTTGTTGTTTTTTGTTGATTTTTGCACTGTATGAATTGTTTGCAGAAACGCTCGGGGCAGGCGTATGCTGCTCTGATATAAATAAAGATATGATTTTTATGGCGATTTGTGGGCCAATCTTGCGATAGATGAGTATTTCTGACACGTTTCTGTTACTTCTAGTTATGTCGATTTGTGTCTGCTGAAGGGACTAACGAAATTATTTGTGTCCAATGGTTTGTGGGGGCCAATTCTATGAATGCCCTTGAGTTGCTTTTCTACTGCCTTTGATGTTGCTATGAGAAAAGGAATGATCTTGGTATCATGGGTGATGCAATGAGAAGAGAAAAAAAAAAGTAAATATATCTCTATCCATTCTATTTATAGGCTTGGTACCAATGATCTCTATTAGACTGTACCGGTGTGGAATAAGTGAAGCTGTGGAACCCAACATCTATGTTCACATTCAGATTTTAGTTTAGAGTGAAAAGAAGTTTAGCAATATATAAAGTCATATCCTTTCTGCTGTCTTGGTTTCATCTAGTGGCCTAGTACCCACTATGCTGGAATGGCATAATTCTAGACTCCTTCGAATTGTTATGCCCAACTTCTGGAACCCAATTTTTTTTAGCAATTTGGCCACAACTGGATGCTTATCGCCTATTTCTTTATACTGCAAATTATTTCATAAAGGTCCCTGTTGCGTTACTCTTGGAGGTGTACTATGAGGTCTAGGATTCTTTAACCTGGGGCTTGTCAGTCAATATATTGACCTGAGCACTAATAGGTACATTTTGGCATAAAAACATATGACTACTTCCATAAAGGTCCCTGTTGCGTTACTCTTGGAGGTGTACTATGAGGTCTAGTATCCGTCTTAAGCCTTAATATTCCCTCTGAAAAGTGCAGACACCGTTATAGGTATGCAGTTCTCCATTCTTCTTCCTCTTGGTCTTCTGTTTATAGGAACCTCCTGCCCATAAGGATCAGTTTGGCTGTCATCTTCCTCTTTCGTTGGCAAATCTAAGAACTTTTGGAAGTAAACGGAAACATGACATAAACTCCACTGAAGTAATTCTCATTTTTTAACTCAATCCATGATTATTATGGCAGATATGGTGGAATTCATGAAGAATCTTGCTAGGATGGATGTGGATATGAGTGCTGAAGAAAGGCATCTGTTCTCAGTTGGTTTCAAGAACACTATCGGGGCAAAGAGAGCATCATGGAGAATCATTTGTTCACATGAGCAAAAGGCCACAACTGATCGTCAGACTGGTGTGATGATAGATGCCTATAAGAAGAAAGTAGAAGATGAACTAAGGAAGGTTTGCAATGAAATATTGTCAATCATCGCTATTCATTGCCTCCCCTTGGCCAATACGGGTGAAAATGTCGTATTCTTTTATAAGATGTATGTACAGGTTCCTTGATTCAGCAATCTGTTTTTTATTTGCCTTTCGCTTTTCTGATGATGCCCTATTTTCTAATGATTATGTTCAGAGTTTATTTTATATCGATGTTTCATTAACTTTCCAGGTAAATTGATATTGCTTTTGCCAAGACAGTAAATTTTTGAGCTCAAAATCTCTTTTCAAGAGCTCATTTCCACAAAAAGTTTTTGTGGTAAATCATTTGCAAAGCTTTCATGATTGATCATCATTATGGTAGCAGGAGCTCCAGAAAATGGTGTGTGTGTGTGTGCGCGCACGGAGGTGGGGGTGGGGATAAACTGTCTGGTTATGGTTTGATAGGTTGTGGGTCATATATCCATGGCTCACCTGACTATATATTTGTCCTAGAGTTCGTTGGAATTCCTATTTTTGTTTTAAAATGTGGCATTACATAGGCAAATAAAATTAAAATATATATGCCAAAGCAAAGGAGATGAAGAAATGATATACACAATCACAATATTCATTATATGTGTTTTACAATCTGTGCACATTTTTAGAGAAGCACAAAGATACTTCTCATAATGGTACTAGATTTAGATGATTTACTATCTATTTTTTGATAAAGAAAACAATAAGCCAATTCTTTCCTAGTGGAGTTACTACCGAGTACTGGATTTAGCTGAAGCTTCTTCAGTTTATCAATACATGTAAAGCTTTCTTTTAATAGCGTGTTAAAAAACTCGACCTGCGGGGGGTATGACGCCCCCGACATTTTTTTAAGAAGAAGGATGATCTTCTCACACAGATCGAGAAAACCCCCGAACCCCCACCCCCATCCTGACGCAGCGGAATCCGTTGCCCTGTGAGAACCGGGCCGAGCCGTTCTGTGCTTTGGCTTATGGGGACGGGCGAGGGGATTTTTTTTACCCCCAGCCTGAAATTCGCTCCCATAGGGAGTCGAACTCAGAACCTGAGGGGTGCCGCCGGAATTCCCTAACCACTTGAGCTAGAGTCCTTTGGCTTAATAGCGTGTTATCAGCCGGTCTCCAGATGTTCAGCAGTCAAGCGGCTTTAATTTAATGATATGGGATTTTGTTACATTGGCCTTCATTTTTAGTCTCTTTATTATGAAATTCACTATATATGAGTGTAGTCTGTTTTCAGTCTTACAAAATTGTTTCCATTATATGGTATGTATAGTGAAAATTTTTAAATAGCCTACTTTATTTCTGAGAAATAATTACCATGATTATCTTGGTATCTCATTATCCTGTCCATGACTGTTTTGGATACATCAACATTGGACAATTGAATGGTGTTTCAGTAGTTCTGAAGTGCTTGATCAGTCCATTGTGTATCTGACGCTGTAGGATGATACAAGGAATTTACATGGTCTATGTGTGACCCTGGTAATCAATTGATATTAGGTCTGATTCTCTTATCATTTCACTGATAGTGTCTCCACTGTAGCGCATGCATGTTGACATTGTACTCCTGTCCTACAATATTTTCCTTACCTGCTTTAGATTTGATTCCTAGACTGTTGCAGGAAAGGTGACTACTATCGTTACTTGGCTGAATTTAGCACTGGAACTGAAAAGAAAGCTGCCTCTGATCAGTCACTTATGGCCTATCAGGTGCTAAATCTTCCAAATATTATACATGGGCTCAAATGAACTTTTCAGTAAAGCCTATCCCTTCCTGTTAAAATAACAAACATTTGCTGCAGCATGCCATGGTTGTCGCCTCCAGTGAGCTCTCACCTGCCCACCAGATCCGGCTTGGCCTTGCTCTCAATTTGTCGGTCTTCTTTTATGAGATAATGAACTCTCATGAGAGGTCACTCATCTTCAATGGCTTGTTTCTCCCTTTTCATTGATGTTTCAAATTCATAGATATTCCTATCCACTCAAGTTTCATGTTTTGAAACATGGGCTTACTTGCCAAGAGGTGACTATTTTCAAATAAACCATTCACCTGCTGCAGATGCTTTATTACAAGTTAAACTATTTTGTTTTCCCCAAAAGGCATTTTGAGACATTTAACCATTTGCATAATTAAACCTCACGAACAGAATATTTTGTTAAAAATGCGTTTTACAGTCTGAATCCACTGGATGCTAGTTGGGCATATGATAGTTTCATTGGTTCTGCCCTTTTTTAGAAAGGCATTTGAGATTATATTTGTTTTTCCCCCTCCTGGAAGCTGCATTTGGCCACGTGATAGATGTGGTGTCATCCCAGTATGCTGCTTGACAGGCCACTAGTTTTTAATAGCATCTAGTTCAGTCTCTGAGTTTCATGGTTCTCTCTCTTTTACAGAGCTTGCCAAGTGGCAAAACAAGCATTCGATGAGGCTCTTGCTGAGATAAATTCTGGTGAAGGGGTTTACAAGGATAGCACACTTATGATGCAGCTTCTGAAGGACAACTTAGCATTGTGGACATCAGAACTAACTGGAGGTAATCCATCTTTGCAAAAACACTTTCTTACCATTAACTAATGGTCACATAAACCTTTCTATCGGAGACAAAAAATGAAGTTGTAACTTCCTTTTTTATGTGGTATCATCTTAAAGTATCATTTGTTCTGTCTAAAGAGAGAGTAGTAGAAATTTGTTTGTATGTCCCTTTTCATTTCATCTAGATTATTTTATAGTATAACTTATAAGCTGTCATCTTCCTGGTACAATACTGGCTAGTGGGTACTTGGATCCGCCACATGGAGGAACAATGACTTACTTCAAGTGAAAAGATATGCACGCATTTTGCAAAGTGCAAACCACACTGAGTCACTACAGAAGATTTGATGAGGGAGTTGCTAGGCATAAACAATTATTAGTAATCAGCCTATAATGACATAACTTGGATGTCATGTCAAGTTTAACTGTGCCTTGATTATTTGCTATAGAGTGGCCTGCAGAGTACTGACAATGCTTTACTTTCCTTGAAATTCGGTTGAGCCAAAGCTTTCCTTCATATTCATTTATATGATAAAACTTACAGAATATTACTTATTCTAAATACCGATTCAGTTTCAATGGCTGACTACTCACAATGTACCTAGAAAATGTGTTCATCCTTATATGGGACTTGTAATTTAGGAATTGGAGATTAGGGATTAGGATCTACAACTAGTTATTTAATACTAATAAATTGTTGACATAATTACAGCACAAAGATTCAACCAACATGTGTTTCTTCATTTTGACAGGTGAAGCATCCAAGGATAATGATGTCGAGATGGAGGTAAGGTGCCTCTTCCTATGACTTGAATTTGGTTTCGTTAGTAAAACTCCATGTGCTTAACACTCCGCAATGTATGTGAAAGAATGAAGTCTGCACAAAATAGTACTATTTGTTTATCTTATAGAAACGATTTCCAATACAAAAGTCTGGATTGTATATCACAGCCTCAGCTTGCATTAACAGAGTGAAGTGAAAATACAAAGTTTTTTCCCATAAACTTTTGAAAGAAGAATGTTCTGTTGGTGTACTTCGAACTATGGCATGTACACGTTTTAATTCGCAACCTTCTTTCATTTTTTTTTTGTATATTATCTGCTATAAAGTGCAAATCCTGTTGAAATCCGGGTAGAAGTCCATGTCCTACCTGTCCAGAATTTCTAATTTTAGGCTACAATAGTTGCTGGCAGATTTTGAAGTTTGTATGATCCTACAATACCGATGCTGACATGTCCTCTCGATGGCGGTCAACAATGTGCTGATACATCTTTAATGCTTTCGTAGGGGTGATTTTGCTCAAGGAACACAGAACGCACGCAAAATATCCAAGCTGCGCTGCTAGCGAACCCGGGTCCTCGAATTTTTCTGCATCAGAATTCAGAAGAGCCTCGCGTATTTTTCTGAAGTTTTTCTGTTCCTCTGTTTTGGGCATCGTTTGGTCCTAGAGTCAGTATCCCTACAAAGTGTTTCTCAGAGGTCTGGACTGGTGACCATCCAACAAGCTTCGGTCATATTTAGTGAGCTTGTGCTGGTGACCACCCAGCTCTGATGTTGCGTTGCTTTTTTCGGTGCTTCGAAGGCATCGTCTTTGTACACCGATGGCAAACTGTCTCTCTTATCAATGCATTAAAGACTTCCGCTGTCGTTTTTAATCTAGTTATGCTGTTCCAGTTCCAGGTAATGCTGTATTGGCAGTTACAGTGATGAGAGTGAGTTTTGAGCCAAATACACTGGAAGTGGAAAACCATCTAAGCTCTGCAGTTTTGCTGATCAATATGTGGGTGCGTATGCACGGGGGTGCAGACTTTACTGTCTGGTTGTCAGGACCCTGATGGGGTGTAGGACCGGCCAATGGTCAAGAGAAGTGGGCTGGGCCATCTTGGGCCCATGGAAGCAAGCAACGGCACTCTGGCGCAGTGGGCCGCATCCAGGCTCGCCGCCGACCACCCCGGCATTTTCTCCTTATAATAATTGGCTTCCTCGACCTCGATGTTGCCACCGGAAGCAGCCATCACCGACCCTGCGGCAACAAGTGTGAGCTGCGCTGCGCACACCAAGTGGGCAAAAACGCTGCCACAGCAAGCTGGAAAGTTTTCCCAAACTTTCTAGGTACCATCCACGCCAGTAACAAGTCGATCGATGGGTTCGGTGGTCAGCTTTCACAACGGACAGGGACGACACCGCCATAGTAGCACGTGATCATCGATCTTTCAAACATGCCGCCGCTGTTGCTGTCATCTGATAGATTTGTGGTCCTTGTCTCGTGAGAGGCGAGAAAGAAAATCTGACGTCGACAACGCATGGGGGCCGGCCGGGGTTGTACTATATGGTCATCATTTTCGTCGAGGTCACCGTTTTGTGCTGCTCCTCGCAAGGGAGATCAGAGTGCAATCACCTACAGGGGCGGATCCAGCGGTGGGGCGGGGGGAGCTCAAGCCCCCTACCCATACCGAATCAGTGCAAATTACTGTAGATCCCATATGAATTTTTAGGTAAAGTTCTATAGTGTAGGGGGGCTGAGACTTAAGATCGAGCAGCAGTGTTGTTCAGCCCCCCTAAAATATTTCCTGGATCCGCCGCTGATCAGCTAGGTAGGGGATTTGGGTGGTTTCTCACGATCGCCGTGTCTCGAGATTTCCGTGGCCTAGAACCAAATTAAGTATATCAATTAATATATATATATATATATATATATATAAAGAGAGAGAGAGAGCGCTTATTCTGTAGCCAGGGCAGACACAGTGCGCCGGTTGTGCCTCCCTAGCTTTCACATGTGGTCCTAGCTTTCTGCCTTTATGAGCTATTTAATTAGTCAATGTCCGGCATACCGCTAATGAATCACGGCCAATATGGAGGCTTGCATGCTTCCTAGTTACGGCAATTCAGCACTAGAATATGCACTTTTCTGATTTACGAGAATACGTCAACAGCTGAAATATATATTCAAATTCAAAATAATTACGATAATCTGAATATATTGTTACCGAAATACAGGAGTACGTAGTTACGTTGTTACCGGAATACAGGAAAAAGTTGCTTTAGCAATGAGATTAATTTACCATACCAAAAATAATTACGATAATCTGAATATATTGTTACCATAGTTAGCGTTGGGACTTGGGAGTTACCATGATTCGATATCATGATGATATGAGGGACCAGTTACCATAACAAACAAACAAATTTACCATAAATTATACGCACATTGAGGCAGAGATGTCATTTGTTATATTGTCGTGTCTACTATGCACGCTAATCCCAAAAAAACAATATAGTGCACAAAAGCATTCCGTGATGTATCAAAACTTTTACAACGGGCTCAAATCAAATGTACATCAAATATGATAGCTAGGAATATTTATTTTGACACCAAACTGAGGCCTTTGTGCCTCAAGTTCCGGAAGCTTCTTGATTGTGTTTTCGAGAGGTACTACATGTACAGAAGAGCAGCTGAGACAATCTGGACTGATCGACGCACATTTTCCTGCATGGTGCATGCATCCTCACTAGACTTGATCTTCTTCTCCATTGCAATTGACAAGGAGATCCCATCTCCTGAAAAATCATCATGAAAGGAACATCTGTAAATGATATCAGAAATTTACAAAGATTTCTTGTTAAACATCTGTAAGCATAACTATTATTAGCTAACTGCCACTAAGATCTGTAAGCAATTGACGGCTCCCGTACCCTCAGGGTCGGGCGACACGGGGCCCGTGCCTGAGGGGTCTGGCGTGGCGGAAACCATCCCTGATTATCTAGGCGAGTAGTCATTCGCAGTCCTCAGATCCCTTCTTCGGATATCCCTAATACTGATACCAGACGGTAGCCCCCGAGCCTACGGAGGAGTAGGATACTCCTTGGTAGGCTTTTTCGGATGGAGGGACTTCGAGGGCTTCGATCTTCTGCTGCCCGCGAGACACCTTGGGTGGTTACGATCCCTTTCTATTGCGACCGAACTTCTTTCGAGGGCATATAGCTGTGGGATTCGAGGGGCCGGAAAAGATTTCTCTCGATTCAGATCCCTCCCTAGGATCCGATCGATCTGCCATCGTCATGCGACCGTGCATTCGGTCTCCTTACGAGTCCAACTTTCCTTGAGCCCCCGCGCGTAGCAGGGGTCCGATCGAGGGGTCAGCTCGTCTTGTGATCGTCCTCTCTCAAGCGTTTTATCGATAAAATGGAGGGGCTGAGCCGTGCCATGTTTTCCTCGAATGGACGAATCATGGTGCTCGGTGAGCTTTTAATGGGCTAGTTCGAGTGGGGCCCTAGCTTCCCGTTCGTGGGGGTCCGACACGGGTCAGCTGGTGACCGAGCCCAGACTCTTGACGGCTAATCCATATAGTTCTTAGGTCCGTTCGACCGGTCCCAAGGGCTCGCTGCCTTTCTTCGAGGAAAAACCATGGACTGTGAACCGACCAAGACTCGAACACGGGCCGGGATGCCTGCGGCGCTCGTGCACCCAGGTACTGGCTGCTAGCGGGCCCATCTCTTTCCACCCCTCACTCTAAAGGTGCCCTGTAGCGGTTGTGAACCCGTCGGTGGGCCAACCTTCGAACTCCTGGGCCTGAATGGGATGTGGGAGCATTTTCAGCTCTGTATCCCTCCTTACATGTGGCGGTTCTCGGCCCATCGAATGGGGCGAACTGTCATCCAGCGCGTCCTCCGAGGGAGCAACCAGAGGTGGCGTGTGCATGTTTCTCGGAGAGGCAATGTGACGAGGTGCGGCGGGCGCATAGATCTAGGCGGACGGTTCACCTCTCGCTCCACCTTCCCTTATAAATAGCGGCCTTTCTCTTCATCTTTTGATACGCCTAACCGTGGCTTTGCCTTCTCTGCTTCTCTATCGCCAGCGTTCTGATCTATTACCTTCTCTCTTCCTCTGCCAGCGTAGCTCTCATTCTTCCACCCTTGCCTCCCATGGAGTTGTGGTATCACTCCGACGTCACCCACGCGCACATAGAGGGCATCGTCAAGCGCGGTCTTCTCCGCGGGAGGACCGACGCAGTGGAGTGGCTCGTTCCCGGTCACGAGGATGCGCCGGCGCCACCCGATGGCTACGTCGTGTCCTTCATGCCCTTCCACGAGCTGGACTCACGATTCCTCCCCATCCGTTCTTCCGGGGACTGCTACACCACTACCAGATTGAGCTACACCATCTAAACCCCAATGGGATCTAGCACATCGCGGCCTTCATCGCGCTCTGCGAGGGGTACCTAGGGATCGAACTCCACTTCGAACTATGAAGGTACTACTTCTCCGTTTCCCTGCTTAAGAAGAGGGATAGAGCTGGGGACCTGCCGGTGTTGATGGGCTACACGGGCATCCACCTCTTGGGGCAACGGTCTGCCGAGTACATGCCCTGCCAGCTATCGAGGTCCAACAAGGGGTGGCATGTGCAGTGGTTCTACATGAAGAACGACACTGCCGCCCACTAGCCAGACTTCACCGAATGCCTCATCGAAGAGGCACCACAGGTGTAGTCGTGGGGACCTCCCGGGAAGGAAAAGAAGAGGGTGCGCGATATCCTTGATGCCCTCGTGTTCCTAAAGAGGCACGGCCTTCGCGGGGCTGGTGTCATTAGGGCATATCACGTGAGGAGGGTGGCGTCGCTGATGGCATGCGCTCTCCCACTGTACAAGATGATGCCCGATGCGCAACTCGACGGGACGGTGCTTGCCTAGGGGCCGCTCCATGATAGCGAGGTCGCTCAATGATCAAGGAGGCGACGAAGGAGTCCGACGCCGTGTTCCCAATCCTAGGACATCCAGCGATGTGGCCGGACATGGGCTTCGTCGTGCTAC